TTTAATAAGTTTCGTTCTCTCTTAATAACAACCTTAATGGAATTTGACAGAAAGAGACGAAACAGTTCTTTAGTTGAAGGAGTGCTATTTAGTTTTTATTAAAAAATTCCGTATTTTTGTATGTATACTAGAATTTGTAGTTATAAATTGTGAGACAGTTTGTCTAAGTAAGCACATGTAAAGATGTTCGAATGTGTTAATTACGTAAATATATTTTAGTTTTGTCTTTTATAAATGTTTTTTTAAAAAAATATGTTATTTGTGTTAATGCTGTGTAAACGATTGTGTGTAAGTCAAATTCATGATCTCAAATATTCCCTTAAAATGATAAATGAGTGTCTTAATATGTGTCTTTTAAACTATAATTATGCTGAAACTGTCGCTGTCTAGTTATATAGAAGTTAGTCCGTTTGTCATATTTATCCGTTACAAAGACGAAATATTGAGCTTCGTTCCCGGCGAAGCGGTAATTTCGTGAGGCACAGAAGACTGACATAGTGTCATGAAAAATATAACTATTATATTTATTTGCGTTAAATATTGGTTTTAAAATTTACCTAATGTTTTGTAATTTAAATATAGTTTATGTAATTAGTTATTGATTTGTACTGTCGTGCTATGTAGGATTACGTTCAAAAATGCTTGTAACATTGTATTGTGTTTTAGAATATTGTATTATGAATTTTACTAGTCTGTAAATATAGTGCTATTTGTATGAAGACTTTTATTTTCCCCAATTTAACTCTAAACAACATCAAGAAATTATGGCAGGGTCAAACGATAAATAAATATCGCGATCCAATATCACGATACCTGTCTCAATATATATTGAATCAGCTGGGCGAACTATACTTTCAATAGATATTGGCGTCAATATCGTCAGTAGGTCTATCATACTTCGGAGTAGACGTTTTTGCCATAACACAGGCCAAACTGTAACTTACCTTAATGCTATTATATTAAGGTATGTTCATTAAAATAATAAATCTTCGTTATCAGTTACGTAAAAATACTTTACGTAGGTTTATTTTGTAAAAACAGTAATGCAACATCTTACTCTGAGTGCTCATCTAAATCAACGCACACACAGTCATTAAATATTGACCGATATTGATGGACCACACAAATCTAGATTTTATGTCAATATGCTCAATAATTATTTCTGCCGCGCATATACATCACTAAATATTGACGAGATCTCCAAGGATCACGATATATATTAACCATCTCACCCCTGTCTATGATATTTTTATTTATAAATCAATAAAACACTATTTTGACCGGATTGAAGTTATGTATTATTATAAATTTACTCCGGTCACCGTGACCACGCACGCTGTAAAGCACGCGAAACGTCGGATAAATTTAAAATTATGTTAAATAGTTGTAAATTTATAATAATACATAACTTCAATCCGGTCAAAATAGTGTTTTATTAAATGAATAAAAGTTATGTTAATCAATGACAATACTATTTATAAATCAATGCAAATATAATAGCGTGTTAATTTCTTCATCTGCTGACTTACTTAGTGGCAGGCTTAATGGCGGAATGGCTAGTCTCTGGAGGCGATCTTTGATGTATTGTTAATTGTCGTAATTCGTGCTAGATTGAATAAACGCACTGTTCTGATGTTTAGTTTTTATAGAGTTGCAAATGGGCAGGAGGCTCATCTGATGTTATGTGATACCGCTTCCATAGACATTCAATGCCAGAAGGATCTCGAGTGCGTTGCCAGCCTATATTCTTCTTGCTATGTGTTCTCAGTACCGACTCCCAAGATAACCTAGTTGAATTTACTGATGTTTTAAGTGAAATAAGTGCTTTTGAAGTTAGTAATAATGTTGAGATTGTAAATATACTCAGTGACTTTAATGGTCATCCACATACATTATTTTATAAGGCGTCTGGACCAAGAGACTTAAGGTAACAGACGGAGCCCTACGAGTAGGATCAAAGGTTCTAGTGGGATTACCTCAAAGCTATCGGGCTGGCTCACCACGATAATTAAGGGCTTGAAGAAGTGTTCGCCACTTTGAGAGGAAGCGAGAAATGAGTAAGACAGAGCAATATTCAAATCTGATTTATTGTTAGATGGCAAGCTGTACAGTACAATTACCTTTCATTGTCAAAATCTATAGATCTATCTATACCAATAGATACGTATTGTAAACTTTGATCAGTGATCCTAAAACAGAATTATGCTTTGTGGTAAAGGGTTGAATAAAATTCTCAAATATAGCAATAACGTTTATTGTGTATAATGAATTTATCACCTACACTACATTACAAGCCAGATTCAACCGAAATTACAATATGTTACAATACTCCAGCATCGCTCCCTCCCGAAGCTTAAAGCTCATATTAATTCTTAATTACAAACCGTATTTGTTATATGCACCAATAAAACCCCTAGTTTCATTAAACAACCTAGGTTAAATAACTCCTTAATTTGATCGACGCATTTGGAATAATAAGAAAAAAGACTACAATGTTTAGTCCACGTTTTATAAGAACCTAAAGAATTAAATTTGCTATTGCTTAGTTATTTGTCTTTATTATTTAAAACAGATAACATACATAAATTAACTTACACTAGGGGTAAACAGATTTAAGTTAAAAGTGCAATTATAAAAAACTAAATGAGTATTAGCTGCCATAACATTTAAATACGATTTTCGCTTATGAAAAATACTTATTATACAAATTTGTCAAAATGGATACAATAGGGGTTTCTTAGTTTTACAATTGGTTCAAAGGTCTATCGTGAAGCCTCAAAACAATTTTCAAACAGCTTTTTAAAACGTGGTTTAATTCTTTTTATATAATACCGTAACCATGCAACAAGCGGTACTCGGCTATTGGCTCAATCACTATCTGGTCTTAGCTGGTTGAAATGTTTTAACATTTTCAACGATATTCAGATCGTACTGACTTACCACATTAAATAATTGATTTTTTACGATTTGTGCCCTTAAAACCTTTGATTTCAAATATAATACCACGATTTTCAAGTTTGACTCGTAAATTATTATTTTTTAAACATATTTGCTTCAAAATTGATTTAAGGCTTTACGATTCGTGTACATAAAGTATTGCTGTCACGCTAGAAGCGAGAACGGCAACATTTTACAAGGACACTATTGTCTATGACAAATCATAGACATTAGCTAGAATATGGCTACAAGATATTTGGCAAAGTCACAGTCTGAAGAAACACGAGTGATTTTTTTAAAATTCAATCACGAAATACTCAACATGCCTCATTATAACATATTTTTGTCATAAGAATAATAAGCACAAGTTTTCTAAATAAAACGTGGACTACATATACCGAACTGAATATGCATAGGTTGCCATGGTAACAATATACTTAGTTCACGTTTTTTCGCTGTACATACATAAAAATCACTCGTTGCAAGGGAGATAAATCTAAATATTAAACTGTATGCTAAAGTTAATAATCAATTCGTATTATTGTCTGCTATTTTACTGAATTTATCGTACGAGTTATAATTTATATATTTAGTATGGAGTTTCTTGCCCAATCTCCATCCACTTCTCCAACCTTTTGGAAGGGGCAACTAGTCTTTTTTTTCAATATTTTTAAATTTACTTTAGACTTTGAAAAATGCCTTTTTAATGGGCCTAATTGAAATGATTTGAGTTTGACTTTATATAAGGCAGTATACATACAGAGACAGACTATAAATTTGATTTTATAAAATATGTATCACCTCGCGCGCTGCAGCCCCCAAGGGCCCGACTCCGTACCGCCCTATACTAGCACGGCGCGATCAACGCAACAATCAGAAGGGGCATATGCGCCGAACAGGCCTAAACACCCCCCTCGCGAGGGGGTACCTTGTAAAGTATGTAATGCGCTGTCATAGAGATGTGTCATGTGATGTTTGTTAGAATTGGTTGCATCATGCCTGGTGTTTAGATAGAACTAATAATACATGGAGACCGAGATTTCTGTTCAATAATCTGATAATTTTGTTTCTCTGACGAATGATTTTTGATACGTGTAATCATTTGTTGGAAGTATGGCTGTCTATTTCAAATACGCCCACAAAGAGTGTCTTTTCATTAAACGTAAAATATAACTCGTACCTTCGATATATAAAAATAGTAAATGCATTTTGTCATTATATATGGCAACAATTATGTAAAAAAAACATAGAAAATTATTAACAAAATTTAACTTATAATGTGATGATCGTGCTCAAAACTTGGCGATTCAGCCAAATTCAACTATAAATACAGGTGCGAACATGTTTTATACAAAAGCGATTAATTACTAAATAAATAAAAAAATCAACAATTTTTCACGAACAAAAGTTGGGACCACAGTTTAATTATTAAAGAACATAAAACAAATGAGATACTTATTTTGCCAAACTTGCGTATGTTCAACGTCATACGGGAAAGACAAGGACAAACGATTCAATGGAATTTTTTTGTTTATTTTATCTAATGAGTTTGTTTTAATCATGGACTCCCGGCGTACTTTGGAAGTACAAACATGGCTTGTTCCATATGATAACTAAATGTGTTGAAGAATTTAGGCCTATGTTTTACGAATTTAATAGTTAAACTGTTCCCATTAATATTTCTATCTAAACTTTTCATAAATACCGAAAGCTACGCTAAGCATCATAGACCGTTGGATTACCCTCAAAAAACAATTTTTAAAATAACAATGAGAAATAATATTATTGAGGGTAGACAGAAAAAACGCGATTAAAGTCGGAAACACACTTACGTGTCGTGGCGTGTCGTGACGCGCCAGAAGCAGATTGGTTTCATACATTTAATATGATTAGAAACATATTTGCATATTGTGTCGTGTCGCAACACGTTCTGTCTAATCATACTAAAATATGCTTCTGGCGCGTCACGACACGCCACGACACGTAAGTGTGTTTCTGACTTAATAAGCACTCATTAAATCAACGTCATTTTCAAGTTCAAGACTGATACAGCTCTATGATGACTTTGACGAAGTTAAAAACTTAAATATGTCACATATATGTATGAATATGTCGATTAATTAGCCGTTCAGCCAACGATTTTTTTTTATGGCTATAGTAGCCTATGCATTTTAAACTGAGTCTTCGGGCAATAAATGTCACTGACAGTAGGAATGTGTACGCAATGCAACCCGTTATCGATACTTAGCTGCCTGCGCACGCACTCTTGACTCCTGACTGGTCGTTACGTGTAAGGGTTGTTGTTTTTCTATAAATATAAGATGTTTGTTATGACTCACGTACGCTACAGTACGCAATACGCACAATGGAGAATTTATTGTCTAACATGGTTTTGACAATTAAATAGTGACATCAACACTCAAAAATTATTCCTATTAATACTGAACATAATTTATTTTATCGATCGTACCTATCCCGTTATCGATTTGCACCTCTACAATTCTTACGCACATCACTATACATCTCCATAAGACCTGTAAGTGCGAGCGAGACAGACAGATAAATATGATTTATGACCCGAAGTCTCAGTTCATAATGCGTCGACTATACAACACCGTCTATCGCCCTGAATGATATCGTTGGGTCTGTTCATTTCAATTTTGTTTTCTGACATCTTACGCCGAAACTTTCCAAACTGTCAATATGGCGTCGCTTATGAGTTCCAAAGAACAGTAATATGTTACATTTTAAATAAAGATTTTTTGTGTCTGATGTTTCATTTTGTTTTATTTCTGTCACATGGACCAAGCCAGTTTATTAAATGTAACAAATGCTACGGCTGAATATCATTCAGGTCGTTTGTAAACGCGCTGTTTAGTAGACTAGGCTGTTGATTCAACGGCTTTTTAACCTAATTGGCTGCGACATTCATACTCTAACAGCTGTCTAAAATTTGACAGTACTGTTTAAAACTCCGTCAAACTCATGCTAGAGATTGATATTCAAAATCACGTGACGTAATTTATTTACCTACTCAAGCCTGCACGCTATTCAAATCAATATTCTAAACAATACGTATACGTGATACCTTATCACGTATACGTATTGTTCAGATACGTACGTACGTACGGGATATTGTCGTAATTGCGTAAGCACCGACTGTCATGTTTCTGTCCAATAACACGTTGTTTTATAAACGCGAATTGCATTAAAATGTCATCTTGGACAGTGAAGCACTCAACCGTTACAAAAATGACCGCTGTGGTCACGTGATCGAAGCCAGGCAATGTTACATTTTTGTATACACAATAAATTACAATTTACGAAAATTAAAATAATGATGTCATCAGTATAACAAATCATAAGATTTCACAATTAGCGATTTACCTAGCTTTAAATCGACGGTGTTTTTTGTCACGTTATTCGCGTTACCGTCTTTATTTAACTGTCAACCGGCGTTTGTGCTGCTCTGTGACTTCTGTTCGAACAACGCCGCCATATCTCGTATGTTGTATGACGGTGATGTTTTCTCTTTCCTGAAAATATTTTTTTTTATATAGTCTAAGATCCGAAATCGATAATTCATCTTATAAATTAAATTAAACTGCGATTAATATAAGTCTATTTTACTACCAAACTTGAAAACAGTAGTATTTAGTAGAAAAGCAAATGCAATTAGGAATGATACTAAAATACGAATCGTTTAGTGCTTTGTCAAACTATGTACAAAATTCTCTAGGAGTTTAGATTTGGGCTCTACGTACCAACGATTTTCAAAACAACTGTTTAGTATCTGGTATGGAAGATCGTTGGCAGACGTGCAAAACTATACGTACCTATCGTCCCTGCTTCGACTGGCTTCCCCGTTAAAGTCCTGAACTGGACTCAAAGGCGACGGGATAGTATCTAAAGCATTAGCACTTCTGGCCAACGAAAACCTCATTCGTTGGCCCAGATCAACTGTATTTCTTCTTTCGAATTTAGCTTCTGTTAATCTTTCACAATTCTCAATTTTTTCATCTTCCTTTTTTAATTTGATCCGCGTCAATTGCTCTGGATTACTTCTAAACGATTGTGAACTATATTTTTCCCGCAAGAAATTCCTACGTTCTTCCTTATACTTCTCTATTCGCTCCCTGCTCAATTTCTTCTCCGTTTCGAAGCCTATTAGGTTCTTTATATCAGGTTTCACGTCAAACCGTTGAACGAGGGATATTTTGTTTTCAGTTGTGGGTGTTATACTATCGATTTTTGGCTCAGGCTCTTCGGTATTGAGGTTTAAATCTGGGAGGAATTTAGACGTCCTTTTGACATCGCGTACTTCTAAACTTTTACGTCTATCTTTATCAGTACCAAATTCTTTGATGAAGGCATTTTCATCCAAAGATCGAGCGTTGCATGAGTTTTTTGATAATTTGTAAGTTTTTGGTGAAACGGGCGGCGGTAATTTTACGGCTGCGTCTCTTTTCTTCTCCTTAGATATTTCTGGTGTATCCTTTTCCAATGTATTCTCAGCAGAGAACTTAACTTCAGTTTTGAATTTATCAAAAGAAAACGGACCCTTCTGTTCGGTAGGACTTTCGAAACGTATGGCTAATTCACGAACATTTAAATTTGTTGGGACTTTCGGTTTTATCACATTTCCGTTTTCATGTTCGATAGATTCATTTTCCTTTGCACTTATATCTACTTTATCACAGATTTTTAGAGTATCAACGTTAATATTTTCATAATCACGTTCTGTATTAAAATTAACATTTTCATAATCGATATCTCTTTCCGGAGATTCTAATATCATAGCATTGACTTCTTCAATGCTTTTTCTAAAGAATTTAACTTGACTATAGACATCTACGTTTTCATCTAGATCAGTTTCCGTCGGCGTCTCTAATATAATAAGGTCTTGGGTAAAATCTTCAGGTTGGCACGCTTGCTGAGTTGGCAAACTTGCATCAGTCTGAGGAATGGTTGCTTCTTCGACTATAGACAGATTTTTGTCTAAATCTATATCTTCATAGACAGAATCTCTTTCGTTCGTAGGGGTGTCATTGATTATCGGTTCGTAATCTGGCGACTTTGACTTTGTGGGCGAACGGAATGTAATACTTATGGTAGATTTGAGAGGACTTTTTAATGGACTACCCGGAGAGCTTTTAGACGTACTGGAAGATTGTAAATTTATATAATTCGGCCTCGTATAGTTGTAGCATTCGTACAACTCGTCGTGTTTCAAGCTAACATTCGAATAGCTAGACGAACTCTCATGCGACGAAGTCATTATTTTCATGAGATCCTCTTTCTTCGATATTTGTTCTGAATTTGATGACGTCGACACCGCCGACAGTCTATTGAGATTCTGGTAACTTATATCTGTCGAATGTAGTGGGCTGGCTTCTAAACTCTCGTGTGTTTGTTCTGAATAATCTCGGATATCTTTCATATTTTCGTAATCGGTCGCTTTCAGTTCACATTTGAGACATTTTTCCTCATCACAGTTATCGCAGTCGCTGGTTATTTTTATCGTATGTTTGTTTTCGCTGGTTTCCGAGTCACTCTCCAGCGGATCGTAGTTTGGCGTGACTGGGGTTATGGGACTAGAATTTATGGTGCTGGTCGTGAGGTTACCGGTAGAGGTTTCGGCCGGCCAGTCTATTTTTATAAGGGTAGAATGCCCGTCTTTTCCGTGCCACGTGAGGCGAGTGACCGGTTTGTCCGGGTCATTTAGAACCGGGGCGTGCAAGCCGCTGTAGCGCGCTGAGTTTTTTTGTTTCCGTGGCGAATTTCTTTCTCTGCAAGCGTTTGGTTAATTTAGCCCACAAGTAAGCTATAAACTTTCTACGATACTATGCTAGTTTTGCCGTGAACGATTATTTTTTAATGAATTTCTGACTACTTTCTATAAAAGAATCATGTCATATGTGTCTAGAGTATTGTCCAGTACAATGCACATGCATACAATCCATAGTTCAACTAGAATAATATTAAGGGAATTTACAGCAAGTCTCACATTGAATTGACAATGTTTATTTGTATCTATTACCACATGAGATCCATGATTTTTGTAGATGTGAGACACGCTTGCTCTTTAAGCAAAATCTTGAGTCTGTTCGAGTATCCACTATCATCAAACAAATTTGTATGAAGCTGTATTCGTACAAATTTGTTATCACGCAAAGGAAGTATGTTCGGGAATTAAGTCGATCATTATTTCAAAACCGCATAGTATCGTAGTAAAGCCATGAAATATTAATATGAATGATAAATTAGTGTTTAGATTGATGTTAGTTAGGTTTACCTGTCTGTGTGTGCGTTCTGTCGCCACAGTAATTTTTACTATCCTGAAAAAAAGTTTGTTATCTGGAATTTAGCACACAATTATGTATATTGTATGCGTATAGAATATACAATATCTTTTAAAATAATTTTTAAATTAATTATTGTTTTATAACTAACATCATTCTAAAACACTTGTGACTTGAATTAATCCATTTTCTTGCTACAACTATATTACTAGCAAAAACATCTAAAGAACTACTGTCATTTAAAATAGATTATTTCTAGCGTACAACATTAAGATAAGAGGAAATCAAAAACTTACCTCAGTTTGACATTTGAAAGTGTCGCTTGGAAATCAGAAGTAGAAGACAGCGGACTGTCGCGGTCTTTGCACAACCTGTTAACAAAATTTAATTTAGAGTTCATTCATAATATATTTATTTATTTACAGTTATGAAAAAAAAATGTATGCGTGTACTAGTGTACACACGTAAGTAGTGAAACTCGTTTATGACCTTATTTTATGAAAAATGATCTACTATATGCATTATTACAGAAATTGGTAAAATAAAGTTAACTTAGATAAAGTTTAAAAAAAGGCTTTTATCATCATAGACATGAATACAAATACAATTATTTCATTCTACCTTATTACTACTAAGATTATTACAGAATTTCATTAATTGTAATATAATTATTACTATCATTGTTATCGTTATTATATATTTTTGTTTTTAATATAAATTTTATACATTTTATGAATGCACTACATGGTTTTGGACATAAATAATAATGATTTAAATACTCCAATATTAATTAAATATAACGTGAAAAAATTATCCAATATAAATAACAGTACGTTGCGGTAAGCCTGAAGTTAGTTTTCAGAGGTAGGCAAACTTCACAAACAACAAATCTTGCAACTGATCAATAAACTGGATCCGAAATCGCAGGACAAGAAAAAGATGACGTAACGGGAAAATGTGACGTCACGTGACGTAATTTTTTTCCAACGCCGATAAAGAAGTTTCACTTCAATAAAACTATTATACTACTGATTTTTACAAAATAATTATTATCCATTAATATTTTCTATGTTTACAGTCATTTCCTTCACAAATAGGTCGTTCTCTGACGAAGAGTCGAGAAAATTAGAATATGGTTGCACAGTGGGTTTACAAGAATCCGTTTATTTATAATTAGTTACAAAAAGGTTTAGGCTTTTTTATGGGTAAGTTTAATTTTTCTATAACATTAATATTCAGTTACTATAATCTAGAATATGTAATGAAAAAATATAAAAAAAGGATTAATTCGAGAAAATCACTATTATTAAAAAATGCAACCTTGTCATGGTTCTAGATCAGTAATAGTTTTATTTTATTTTAATAATACTATTTTGATTAGATAGATAGATTATTGTGATGAATAAATTTTAGAAAAAAGCAGCATAACCATAATTAAGAAAGATGTGTTTAGATTACCGTTTAGCAACAGCCTGCCTCCTTGGGCTTAGTGGTCGGTTGTAAGCCGGTCTCTTCTCGGCTAGTGGGCTGCAGGTTCCGCTCTCGTCGATATAACCCATGTCTTGTTGCTCCAAGTTGTCGAGGGCCACGCGTTTTCTAAAAACAAAACACAACTATTAATTCACATGCCTTCTTCCAAAATAATTTCCACATCCATTATTTAACTTTTTAAGTTTAGTTAATAAAAATAAATAAATCAATGGCGTTACAACCTTTTTAGGTCTGGGCCTCAGGTTTCTGTATTTGTTATATGATCATTTGTTAATCTAATAGGCAAGTAGGTGATAAGCCTTCTGTGGTCGTTTTGGTCTTAGACAAGCCGGTTTCCTCACGATTTTTTCCTTCACCGTTCGACCGAATGTTAAATGCGTACATAGAAAAAAATTCATTGATGCACAGGCGGGAATCGAACCTACGACCTCAGTTTTGTTAATAGAACTTTAATTTGTTACTAATTAGCAATACAAAGATACACACTCATACAGAGATACTAAAAAACATTTTTCTAAATGTGATCATTATTTTGTTCTTTAATTAATGACTCGTTATTTGACCATCTTTCTCCAGATTTCCCTCGTCCATGTTACCTTAACTCCCTACTTTCCCTCTCATCCAGCCCGATCGTCAAAATTTTAGGGAAATTTATTTCTGTTAATAAATTAATGTTAAAAATAAGATTCTCCCCTACATAAGTAGTAAAATGATAACCTCTTGTATATATTATTAGATGTCTGTGTGTGTTGTCTTTATTGTGATTGTATTTTTCTTTACAGGGAAATAGGTGGTCAGGCATTGGTGACTGACACACGCCGGCGACTTTTTGTGTCTAAGAGATATGTCTCACGATGTTTGTCTTCAAGGTACGCCAATGTTAAATGCGTACATATCCATCCAGTGGTCCGGGGTTCGAATCTGTGACTGCACTGCTTTAGTAACATACTATACTGTCAGAATAAATAATAATATTAAAATATACCTTTCCAAAGTGTCGGTGGGATGTACTTCAGCGCGTAACAATCTCCTTGGACTTGGCTCGTTACTCGCGGGATTCGAATCCACTGGCGAAGAACAGGCCGAGTCATCCTGGAAATGTTTTAAAATAAAGATAACTTGACACGAAAATAACTATCTATGTCAAAATTCCATGCCATTTAGCACAATTATTGCGGAATCGTAACTTTTTTTTTATTGGCCAACGACTCAAAAACTCATCCTGTCTCTTTTATTAATTGGGTTTACACTGTGATGAAAAGAGACAGTGAATTCTTCTGCATACTTGATTTGGTTACTATAATTAAGACAGTACCGTCTTTATAGCTAACACGGCACGAAGTGAACTTAAATAGGTTGCTGGGATACACAAAAAACGCAATATTAAATCCTAAGAATGGCAAAACTCATCTTAAACTTAACTAAACTCAACTTGTCAAACTTAAACCCAAAATAACTTTATTCATATTGATTACCACGTACACTTATGAACGTTAACAAAAAAGATGTTAAATTGATTCTAAATTTACACTTATCGCCAGTTCGCATGTCAAGGGCGTTGAGTTGTCATGAAGAACTGGAAAGAAACTCTCCTCCTTTTTAATCGCCAACAATCGTGATTTTAACAAATTGAACACAGCTTATCTGGAGCTAGATATATTCGGTAGTGGGCTGATCGGTTTTAGAGAAAGCATTGTGGGGTGTCTTTCTCGAACCTAATTTCGCTGTTTTTCTGATGATTTTTCTGCTTGTGCCAACAAATTTCATTTTAATGAAATTTGTTGAAAGTTTTATTTTATTTTATGTTTATGGTAAAAAAAAATATTTTATTTTAATGTGTGTATTGTCGTGTGTGTTTTAGTTGTAATTTTTTTTTTAAATTTTATTTGATTTTTTTTGAGAAACTTATGCTTGCGTTGATTGTCGCACATTTTGGATGTAAGATTTTGTGAAATTATTGGTAGATTTAGGACTGTGTGTGATGTCGTGGGCTTAATAACTAAAAAAACAAAAAGAATTGAGTCATACAAATTGTTTGAACTGGAGCAAATCAATCCCAAGGATGGTTATTTAAATAATCCTATCATTTAAATATCCGTCTAATTTATAAAAAGCTTTATTGATTAATTTGAACGAGAGCTTTGAATCTATTTAATGATAACTCTCTAACTTCGCTTGGGAGTTTGTTGTGAAAACAAAAACAATTTCCATATAAGGAGTGGTTTATCTTCTGGAACCTGGTTGGTCGTACGGTCAACTTATGTTATGCCATGACTAAATGAAGTTTGATGTATGGAACAGCGCTCAAGAACAAATTACAAATTATTCAGTACTCGGGACTCGAGAACAAAATGCGCAAAAATTCTGTAAACTTCATTAAAATGTAATTCTTACTTGATCCCTTACACAGTTACACAGGAAAAAACTGACAACATTCCAACATGCAGTTGAAAGAAGTATGCTCGGCATCAAGAGGAAAGATAAAATTCGAAACACCGACATACGGCGTAAGACAAAACTAACCGACATACTGATCAGAATAGACCAACAAAAATGGAGATGGACAGGACATTTGATGCGTTCTTCTTCTTCTTCAAAGAACAAATGGAGCAACATTGTCACACACTGGTATCCAAAACGGCAAAAGAAGTAGAGGACGTCAATACAGACGATGGGAAGACGAACTAAAACTGACAGCAGGTCCAAACTGGAGGAGAGTCGCCTGGACAGAACGCAGTGGAAAGAATTGGAGGAGACCTTTGCCGAAAGGCACACTGTAATTAGGGATATTTTATTTTATTTTAATTCTTACTTATGGATTAATTACTAACCGCGCAATAAGACTTTTATTTATTCAATAGTTATGCATATATCTTAATTTAAATTCATTGGAATGTCGGCGGAGTCGGCAAGATTGATCATTTTTGCACGCTATTCTTAATAGGCGGATAGATGACTATTTGCTAACATTAATTTCTATAAGAATTCCTCCCCCGTATGCGAATATATATTCACAATTGTTCCATGTGCCTTTTTTTTTTGGAGGAAGCGGGAAGACTGACTTTATTTAGCAGTAACAAATTTTAAATTAGTACTTAGAGAAGCACCATTTACACGTGTTTTGCGCACACTAAACAATATTGCTTGTGAGACCGATATATTTAGTTGCACACTGGCTGAATTCACAAGAATTTCATTATTTATAATTAGTTATAAAATGGTTTAGGTTTTTAAGTTTTTACTTGTTATGTTTATATTATGTTTTACGTTAGTTTTCTATTGTATTAGTATTTAGTTACTGTAAAAATAGGAAATAAGGAAATAAATAAATAAATAAATAGTTTTTGTTTAAAATATTAAGTTGTTTGTTTAAAGTTTAATTTCAGTTTTCTTTTTTTAATCTATTACTGTACTTATGTTTTCTGTTTCATTACATATTTTGTTTATGTAATCTGTTTTGGCTTTGTATATTGTCTGTTTCTTTTATAATATGGATGTGTAGCTGTAAGGTTACATATAAATAATAAAGCCTTTAATCAGATAGAAAATAATAACATAATTTTAAACTTAAACTTAACACTAGTGAGTGGTGACACGACAACCCATCTGTTTGCCCAACTTTGGCAAAGGCCTCCTCCATTTCTCTCCACTCTGCTCTGTTCTGAGCTTTCCTGGTCCAAATTTTCCCAGTTACGGATTTTATTTCGTCTTCCCATCTTGAAACTGTCTACCTCTTTTCTTTTATTATTTCTTGGGTACCAATATATGATCTTTTTGTTCCACTTTTCTATACCTCTTATTAGTGACCAGCCCATCATTTCAATCTTGTATCCTCTTGTGACGTCTTCATTTCGTGGTGTATGATTTTATATTATCTTGGACTTCCTGATATTTAGAGTTTCCATGCTGGGTTTAGTGTGATTTAGAGGAGTTGGAGCCGTATGTTAATACGAAGTATGAAGTGTTATGATGACATTAATTTATTTCTGTTTTTTCATATTTCGCTAAGCCCCCAGTAAATTTCCACGCTTTCCCAATTCTTGTATCAATTTCCTTCGACATTATACCAGTGGTTGAGATTTGCCCAGGTATGTGTACTCTTTCACATAATCAATTGACTCTCCATTTACTATAATAATATCTTCTGATGCATTGTATGGCTTTAGTTTTTGAGGTGTTCATTGTTAGCCCTACCTTGGGTTTCCTTGGTCTGTAATATAATTTTAGATGTCTTTGTTGTAGAAAAGTATGAGTAGGCGAATGTAGGTGTGAGTTCCCCGTTTATGTTTAGTGTACCACCCATTTTAATTCTCTGAAGATGTCTTTAGTAAGCTGTGAATAATTTAGGTGATAGGGGGTCTCCTTGACGTAACCTCTATTTATTTTGATTCTTTTCCTACTTTTTCTAGTTTTATTCTAGCGGTAGCTTGATTTTTGAGGCAGTGCAGATATTTTCGGTTATTGAGTGAATGCCTTGTTGTAGTCTATGAAGCAACAATAGAACGAATTGAATTCTTTGGTTTTCTCAAATATTTGTCTTACGTAAGTATATGGTCTAAGTTGAATATCCGCCCTGAACAGCTGTCTATAGGTTATTTTCGTCAGATTTTGGTTATTCGCGAAAATTATTTCGAAAGACTTTATAGATTTTGACATTAAGCTTATCGGCCTATAATTGTTCATGTACTTGTCACCTTTTTTGTGGAGGAGGATGATGTTGATGTGGTCCACTGTAAGGAATTTTTAGTGTGTATATGTTAAAGATGTATTTTAGTAGTGGTGATATCTCTTTTTGCAGACTTGAAGATATATTATTGATCGTAGGGTGTAGCTGTGTAGCTGTAAGGTTACATATAAATAAATTAACATAAAATACCTGTGCCTGCTGTCCCGTATCGTCCTCCTCGCTGAACATATGTCTGTCTCTCTCCTGCGGCGAAAGGCGTAAACGCATTCCCGCTAACTCCGCCTGCCACGGCTCAAAGTACGAATCGCAGGAGGACGATCTGAAAGTGAAATTCATAAATACTATTATTTATCGGAATTAATTATGACTTTGTTTGACTTTTTACAGTATACAAAATTATTTAAACGGCGACTGTACTCACGCGCTTTGAGTTCAGAAAATCGTCATAGTCATAGAATAGTGACGGATCTGACAAATAGTAAACTTTACAGGGCAGCTATTTCAAAATAATATAAGCATGTTAGTTTTTTGTCATATCTTTTTTAATTCATATTCTGTTATTATGAAAATTTGCCAACAAACAAACAAAAGGGTTTGTTTTGAAACAAAATAAAAATAATAACATTGAATTACACAGTCTTCTAGAAAAAATCACAGGTTTCTATCAAATCCGTCACTTTACCGTCTGATTAATTTGAAATTTAAAACACATGGATTTTTTTAAATGTAGCCAATAAAGAAAATAAATTCACTTTTTATAATATTTACTTAATGTAGTATCCAAATATAAAATATAATATATATAAAAAGTGAATTTAGTTTTTTTTTCAAATCCGACATTGTTCTACGATCATGATGAAATTATTCCCAGAGTCCAGTTATTTTGGAGGATTTGATCGTCCATTTTGTATAGTTTGTTTGTATGTACAAAAGACTTTCTGTCAATTCAATATATAAAATAATTAATATAGATAGTAATGTAATGATTTTGCATGACATATATATAAACGTCTTATTTTTTTGTAACGATCGAATTAAGCCTTTTTTTACCCTTAACGGAAATAGATTTTATATGGTCACGTGACCAAGCGTGAGTTTTGTATTATTTAAAATAACGTCTAATGAGTTTTTACCTAGTGTGATGTTTGAGGGGCGCGGCTGCTTTAATCGCTAAAGGTGCCAAGGTATCGCTCTCTGACACTAAAGACTCGCAAGACTTCGCCGGTCGAAGAGTAATTGCCACAATTTCCTGGAAATTTAAAAATTTAAGTTAAACTTCTTTTGGCGCGTTAGGGAAAAATTATGAGAGTAAATTTTTACGAGGCGCGCGCACACCGTCACAAAAAACCGACACCCTGAAGTTAGCTATAGTCAACATTTTAGTTTTTTCTATTGTTAGTGTCGTTTTTTCTACAAACGTAGAATAAAATTTTTGAAAGAAGTATAACTTCTAACGGGTGTAGATACACACACACACGTTTTTTCTATATTAAAATTGTGTACGAGCCAACGCTGTACATTTTGATCGCTCTGGCTTTCATAGTTTTTCCAAAATCGTCGAAGTTACGCCCCGAAACCATAGCCAGGCGAAGGTACTCTCTTCAACTGTTACATTGCATTTATTCGATACATAGCAAATAACATTTTATAAGCTTATATTCTATTGTTGTACGCAAATGGTTACTATTGAGTAAAACTAAAATCCTCTATTATTTAAAGCTCCCCGATGACCAAGGAACCATACAAATTGAATATCTACATAATATAAACAATTTGACAGAAAAAGACGTTAATGAAGTATGGCTAGAAGGATTTCGTAGGGTTTTTGCTTTAAGAAGTTGATTCACTCCCCTTTCTTTATATATATAATTCTAATGTACGTATGTATGTCACTGACCTATTAAACGGCTGGAACGATTTGAGTGAATTTATGTATGCGTTTGGGTGGAGCCCTGAATGGTTTAGATTCACAAATCAGCCCAGCAGATGGCGCTGCAGTCGGTACTTTCATACTTTGTTTAATATCCTAATCGCTTGAAATATCATACAGGACAACGTATGTCGGGTCCGCTAGTGTATTTATAAATATCTTAACTAAATCTCAATTGATGCTTAAATTATTAAACATATGTACGTATATATATATATATTTTTCTTTTGAATGCGTTGTTTATTATTTGGATATCTGAATATCGTAATAAGCTTACTCACAGGCGGAGGGGGCGTGGCAGGTGGTGGCCTGTGGGGCCTGGGGCGATGCAGCTTGCTCCTGCTGAAGAGCCCACGCCAACCTGACACTGAGCGCTTTAGGGCTCGCTTTGAACCTGGAACATGAAGTGTTGGTCTTTCTGTTAGTTGACCTAAAAAATCTTGCAACGAAACTGCTGTCGACTAATATCAAATTTTTTTTTGGAAAGTTTTTAAAGCAATATATTTGATTGGAATAATTCAGATTTTATATTCATAATTGTTTTATTTTTATTCACCTGGTGCTGGTAAATCCAATACAGTGTGGTACTGAGGTAGATTATTTGGTCCGGAGCCAACCTGAAAAATTATTTCATATTATTAAACTTTATACATCTTTGAAATATAAAATATATGTTTAATTGTTGAAGTGAAACTTCTTTAGGCACATGAGGGTAAATTTTTTACGGATGCAATGCAATAATAATAATATAGCGTCACGAAGATGTGCAGCGTTTTTTGTCTAAGAAAAGGGGGAGAGCGACCGATTGAGAGAGAGTGAGAAGGGCGAATTACCTTATAGAAATTCTATTTTTAAAATTAAAAAGAAAATTTATGAAATATTAGTATTTTATATTCTCCTCTGCTGCTTCATTTAAGAATAAGTTAAAACTCTTAATGTCTTAAGCCTTGTATAAAGATGTATCTGTTTAGTTTTCTTAATAAATAAATATGCATAATTATTTATTGAAATCTCAAATGACGAATTGTAAATTAAATGTCATGTTTTTATTATCGAAGAAATAAATTTAAAAAATTAAATTTATAATTTGTATTAATTTTAATATTTTAATGACAATTAAATTCCTAACATATTTTCTTTTTCCCTCCATCTAAGTCTCGGAAATGTAAAGTTTTAGATTTGTATAAATATGAATAAGACTTAAAATTAGTTTGCCAAACAAGTTTCACTTCTGTCATGTGTACTTTGTACTTTTTTTTATAAGAAAAATAAATCTTAGTACTGTACTCTATATATTAGAGATAGTCCTTAGTCAAGCTTGCTTGTATAATGCTTTCTAACAATTAATTGTAAATATCGAGAGTCAAGATAAAAAACTAACCTCAATATATTTCGGTTTCAAATGACCAGCAGGTTTGAGGTGAGTGGTTGCAGCTGCCGCGATAGCACCCGAAGGGGGAGGGTATTCGAGAATCTCACTGCCGACACACACTTGGCCGCGACGGCGGGCTTCTTCCAGACTGGAATACCAAGTATTTATTAACTCGTATATTGTGTTTACTACTATTTTAACTTAAATTAAGAAATTTAAATTGAATTATTTAATATTTGTTATCTGTATCAAAAATGCAAATTTACAAAGCAACCATTGAACCCATAGTGGAAATATTGAATATTCCTAGACACATTTTAACTTATAAAAAACTACTAAAAGTTATCTGTGTCAATGCAAGACAATTTATGTATCTATATTCTATAGATTCAAATAAATCTATTTATAATTTTTTTTTCTTTTATTATTTTATCTTTTTTTCGTTTTTTTTTTCATTTTTTTTTCCTCGAGTATTGCAAAATTAAACTTCTATGAAATGTATTCTTGGTTTTGTTTTATTTCTCAACCATTCAATCACAATGTGCCACAGCGAAGCGGCTGGGTACAGCGAGTAAAATTATAAATGTATTATATAATTATAATATATTTCTTACCTCAATAGTTTAGTTGGTGGATGCAAGGGTAAGCTCTTCGGTCTCCTGCCTGCTTCTAGCCCTCGCAGCTCCACTTGACACTCAATGCGATCCTGAAAAGTTTTTTTTTAATATTAAACATCTAACCATATATAATTAACCAAATTCACAATTAGCCGAATAAAATTCTTAGTCTTCAATTCCTTTATTCATACAAAGTGTTGTGTAGTAAAGTAGTTTTTTGTCAGATTTATTTTTAAACGAATTTTCTTAATAATGGTCCTTCGAGCCGGATGTTTTTTGGGATTTTCTTGGATTTAGTTCTGCCTGACCAAGGATCTTAGGTGAGTTTTATAAACTAAAAGTAAAATTTCCGATCAAATGATGATTTTATTTAAATTTGAAACACTAACCTGTTCCAAAGATTGTGGACCTGAGTCAGCTCCCTGTTCTTGCGCAAACAAATCTTCTGCGTAACAGATCAGGAATTCGGTTACAACGGCCTGAAAAAACATTTTCCTTTAAATATAATTATAACATTGTATGAGAAGAAAGGAAGAAAAGAAAATACTATTATTGGTATTTCTTTTGAGATGTGAATGGTACTTGATATAATTTCTACCTAATACTTACATTTTCTAATGAAACTACTGATGCACAATAAGAATACTTTCCGTTTTAGCATAGGACAGGTTGAAGATGTTGTTAAGATTGTCTTAAATCATTAGTGAAAATTGTGTTTTTATAAAAGTGGCTAAGGATGAAAGGGCCTCTGAAGATGAAAAGGTAAGCTAACATCACATTGCCCCACAGTTCCTTTATATATATTTTTTTAAGTATTAACAAACATACGATGGATTTAAAGAAAAAAGCAGTACAAATAAAGGAAGCTTATAATTTTTATCTTAGATAGTGTAGTTGCTTTATCATCAGTTCAGTACACACAGGTATTTAGAAAGTCTAACCAAACTATTAAAAAGCATCGTATGTATACCTGTACGGCAACTCCCTGCAAAGCGTGTTGCGGTTTAGGAGAAGAGAGCAAATTAGGAGCCCAAACGATCGCCATATTGCGAGCTGTCATTCCCGTTGACTCGCTCAACAATGACACACGGCGAAGGTGACGCATGAGATACGCTAGGGTCCTGAAATATTAACCATTAATAATTATTTCTATATAGTCTTTTTCCTGTATTGCAGTGATTAGTGATGGGCAAAGATGTTTGCAAAATTAGCTAGATGCGCAAATTTTTTTTTCAAATAAAAGGTTATATTTTATTAGTGGATCTTTTCAATGTATTAATAAAATTTTCAATGTAATCTGATTCTTTGGTATACATGCAAAAACGCGCTTACGGACATTTTTAATGAATTTATAATATTTATATGTACACAAAACTCACCTATAGTGCGGCGGTGGTAGTTTAACAACGGTATCCCTCATGGCCTTCAACCGCTGCTCTTCAGGCACTTGGACCGCACTCACAAAACTATCGTACAACTGATACGTGCAGAGAGGGTTTGGCAACTCACTGGAATAACAAAATAAAGTATTAATATAATTTAGTAGTAACTCGTAAACTGCATAAAGTTATTATTTTAAACAACTTATTACATTTTTTAAATTTAGAGCGCGTCTCCCTATTCCCGCTCTAGTGACTAGTGAAACAAACGTATGATTGAAGTCCACTTGATATAAGACGCACGATACTGTGTTTCGTAACAAAAATAAAGTAAACGCCGAAAAAACATAAAATATACAAAAATTCAAAAATAATTTAATCATATTGGTAACACATTGCACACTTATGACTTGTCAGTAAAGAAATACATATTAATGCTTCTAATTTTACATTTAGTGCCAGTTCTCAAATCAAGGGCGTAGAACGGAAGAGAAGAACTGGCAATAAAATCTCCGCCACTCTTTTTAATCGCCATGTTTTATTTTTACAATATTATGCCATAAAATCGCTAGTAACAGCTCTCGGCCAAACTAATGTGCCTCAATTTTGGGTCCAAACGTTTGGCAAAATAGGGTGTTTTCTTTTGTATCGAGGAATTTATATTGTATTGTTTTTAATTACAGTCAACCACAATACATATCATCGTAGACATAATTTTCAAATAGATAAAATCAAACTCTACGATAGTGATTTCGGTTAGTACCAGCTCTTAAGAGGTTTGGTAACAGTTTTTGTGGGAATCCAATACAGTATTCTTTTAGTTACTATGAGTTATTAAATTTTAGTATATCAACGGTTTATCGTCTTACTGTCTTTGAGCAAAGAAGTATGACACAAATATATGTTAATAATTTCACTGTCGTAAAATAGTAGAACTTGTCTGCACACATTCGTGTAAACTACAATGTCTACCGTGTAAACTACAATCCCATTAGATATGACCAAATTGACTTTATAAAAATAAAATATGTTTCTTACCGAAAATAGCACTTCAGTAAACTAGCCAAGGCATGCGGATCCCGCTGTAAGGGCGCGGTCAGATCGGGCGGATGTCCCGCGTCGAAAGCGGCGCGTAAACGTTGCGTCAGCGCAGCCCCACCCGACAAACGGTAAATGCCGTCCACTGCCCCACGACGCTCTATTGCTCTCGAGCATTCCACTAGGACCAGGGGCACTGGGGATGAAGTAAGTTAAAGATAAGGTAAGTTGGAAGTTCCCTTAAGTCACAAAAAACTGTTGGTTACCATTTTTAAGAGTATTGAAAACTTATTAAGAAAAATTTAGTTTTAGAACAAGTTGAAAGTAAGTTAACACTGTAAGGGCGTGTTGAGAATTAAAATCAATTGTCCTTAAGAAAGTAATTTATTGATACTTCTTGATAATCTTCTTTAAATATTGATTATACATTGTAGTAGGTACATTCGCATTATATAGAAGCCGTACGCTTCTTTGTGTGCGTTGCGTGTACGCGTCTTGGTCGCGTGTGTGTTTAGTGTGATATTGTTTACGCCAACGCGAGTCTGTCGCGTTACAACACTTAAATAATGAACGGCTTTGAAATCATTAATATTAATTGCTATTTACTTATAAAGATCATAAGATAAATTACAATAATTTTATATAAAATACTAGCCACTACGGCCAAGCGTTGCTGTGCCTAAGGTTTTTGATATTTTACATAGTAGTAAACTATTTAAGGGAAACGGTAGGAGAACACCAGTCATGGGGACCACCATGCTTTTTTGGTGGTTATGCCATTATATTGTAGCTTTTGTGAAACGTGGGTACTTTCAACACAGCGCCATCTGTTAGAACTTAGAATTGTGACTATCAGATAATAAACAAATATTTTGCAATAAAATAATATTGCGGGTATAAATTGAGGTGTAAGCTATCCTATCTTATAAGTTGGACCAAACTACACACGGTGTGCAAATTTGATTGATATCGGTTCGGTAGTTTAGGAGTCCATAGCGGACAAACAACGTGACACGTAATTTATATATATTAAGATTTTAATAATTCATAACCTTAAAAGATGTAGTTCAGAACCATCTTGGGTCAAATATTTCAGCTTAGACATACTCTACTAAATCAAAATCATTTTAACAGAAATGTGTTATCAAGACCCATTGAAGATCTTAAGTAATTCAAACAACTCACCATCATGACCGCAATTCAACAAATGTTCTCCCAAATCGCACCCAAACACCCTCTCCCTCAAAATCCCTTGCTGTTTGAGGCTCCGTCTCGATGGTCTTGAGAGGATGAAGCTTCGGAACAGTGATATTAACTTTCCATGCTTGCGGAGCACCGGTTTTATTGGGGCCACTGCTACAGACCTGCGGAAAAGTTATATTAAACTAGCTGAAATAACTATCTACAATAATAAAAAATAGAGGTTGATCATAGAGAGGTGAAAATTAGGGGTATTTTGTACGCTGTATCATAATTAAAAAAAATATATATATATATATTCAAAAAAATAAAATAAAAATTGTTGGAGTGGACAGCCCTTATCACTTGGAGGTTTTAAACATAGATAGATTTACTAAATAAAAGGATTTTAATATACATAGGTCGAAAAAGTACATATACCATAGAAATTACTTGGTAAAATACAAAATTCATCCCGATTCGCTGAGCCATTTTAGCATCTGACATCTATATATTTCTTACCCAACGATAGGCGGCGGTTGTGTCATATGTCTTGGCACTTTATCTCCAATGACAGCAACACAGTGGTGGGGGAAGAAACCCACTCGGAAACCACGCTTACCTCGCCACCAGGTCGATTCTTGGGGACCTGTAAATACTTCTTGTTATTAGTTCGCCAGTGACTCAACGGAGTAAGAGACAAGTCACATTTTTATTTACTTAGTAGATGCAGTTCGAAATTATTAAGACAAAAACAAATCTTTCATAAAGACAAAAATAATACAGACAATTTTACAAATATATCACTGAATAGAATAATATTATTATGTCATTAGCAACTTTATTATAAAAAGTAGTTCCAGATTTACGCACCCAATTATATTTTGACTAAATAATTAAAAACAATTAAAAAAAAAACATATAGTCAATTTACAAATATATCACTGAATAGAATAATATTATTATGTCATTAGCAACTTTATTATAAAAACTAGTTTTAGATTTACGCACCTAATTATATTTTGACTAAATAATTAAAAACAATTTAAAAAAAAATCATATAGTCAATTTACAAATATATCACTGAAAGAATAATATTATTATTCATTAGCAACTTTATTATAAAAAGTGGTTCCGGATTTACGCACCCAATTATATTTTGACTTGGTAATTAAAAACAATTTAAAAAAAAACTTAAAATATATCACTGAATAGAATAATATTATTATGTCATTAGCAACTTTATTATAAAAAGTAGTTCCAGATTTACGCACCCAATTATATTTTGACTAGATAATTAAAAACAAATCAATAGTCAATTTACAAATTTTCACTGAATGAATAATTTAGAAGAACTTTAAAAGTTGCACCAGATCTACGCACCCAATTATATTGAAGAAAAAAAAAAAACACACACAAATTTAAGAACAATTAGAAAACTGTTGCACTAAGCTGCGCTATGCCAACACAAATGCGTTTATGGTTCAAAGGATAATTATACAGAATTCCCCAGGATATTAATATTTTTCCTTATATGCATGATTATTTGTTACTTGTCGGTTATTGAGTTGAGGGTCAGTAGGATTACTTCCGGTTTTAGATTATAGTTCTAAATTCAAAGTTGTTTACTATTATTGATATTTGGTAATAGAAATGTTTATGCAAAATTCTAACATTTAAGAAATGTTTGTATTTGTTAAGTTAATTTCTGACTTGCAACAAAGTTGGCTATTTGATTAGTGTTTTTTTTAAGTAGTGTATAGTAATATTATATTATTACATACTAGCTGATCCGGAAAACGTCGTTTGGCCATGTATATTATTTCAAGGAAACATTTTTTAACATGTAAGTTGTATCATAAAAAATAAAAATAAAAATTTAGGGGGATAAAAAATAGATGTCCGAATTTCAGACTTACTGAATATACATTAAAAAATTCATAAGAATCGGTCGAGCCGTATGGGAACGAACATTGTGACACGAGAATTTTATATACCTATTAGATAATAAATATTAATAATTTAAAAGGCATTTAAAAAATACATAAAAAATTCTCACTCACCAGGCATATCTATAATGGAGATCATATCCCCCACTTCAAAACTTATTTCATCTCGGGCCTGAAAAAAAAAATTGTATATGTATTGTTAACATATTATTTTATCAACTGATTTCTCTTTATTATAAAGTATTTTAAATATAAATTATAAAAATGATGACAATAACTAATACTACATAAACAAACATTAATTTTTAAAACTATATAATTTAAGGTCTGGAACAATAATATGTTAATTTATATATATTAAATTTCTACCTGTGAGACATATTTCCTGACTGAATAAGCAGCTGCCACAGCGGGTGTATTTATTGAATTTGAGTCTTCATTGGACACAAGGAGCTTATGACCTGTGAAACATTATATTTAATAGAAAATAAATAAAAATTTTGATCATATGATTAACGTTGTACATTACTGCCTGCAATATATGAGTATAGTACAAAAAATTTATTATTCTAAAAGCTGTCTGATAAAAACTACATTTCTTAATAAAATAAAATTATTTTACTGACGCACTGTTTGACTGAATGTATTTATTTTTATTTTTCTACACAGAATAATGTAAAATCTATAGTTGCAATATTTGTAACTATGTGAGCACCATGTATAATGTATATACAGAATAATTTAGTTATCTGCTGCATTGTTTTTTATAAGTTATAACACCAGGCGCCTATTTTATTTTCGTATAGTAGTTATTTTTGTTCTGGGTACATGGTCTTCACATGTATCAATTCAATGTATACAAAATATTGTAAAAACTATTTAAAAGCATAAGTATGGACTTTCTTACCCATTCTTCTTCCATATAATACCTTTTGGAAGGTTCTAGTCTTTTTTTTTAGTATTTTAACTTTTAAAAGTGTCTTTTAATAAGCCTAATTGAAATAAATGATTTGACTTTCTTGGAACAATAATTTAATTTAATTAGTTTTTCATGTAAAATTAGATAAATGTATTGTTAATACTGGGAATAATATTGTTAAAGAGATTCTTCAGACCTCTTTGTGCCTAGAGCGCGTACAAATTTACTCAAAGAAGCACCCTTTACGCGTGTCTTGCGCACCCTGCATATTATTGCATGTGAGACGGATATATTTAGTTGCACACTGGCTGAATTCACAAGAATTGCATTATTTATTATTAGTTATAAATACATAGTTTATATTATGTTTTTAGTTTTATTTTTATATTAATAAGTTTTCTATTGTATTAGTATTAAGTTAATGTAAAAAAAGGAAATAAATAAATAATTTCTATACAGCAACCAGATAAATAAAATTACACCAGAATTAATGAAATTTAGACTGCAATAAATAGTACCTTTATTATCCATCTGTAGCCAGTTAAGAGCTGGGCCACAATTGATGGAGTCGTCGGCGATGATGGACAGGTGGTGAACATAATCTGCTATCAGCTGCTGGTATTCCGGCTCATCCTGCATCAGCTCTGCTGTCATCGCCTCTTTAAGATTCGGTAGACCGGAGACTTTTCTGTCGTATATACACCTGTAAACAAAATAATATAAACGTAAATATATGCGTTTAAGGAGCCTATGTACACTTAGACCATTTTAAAATTAGACCATTTTAAAATTAGACCATTTTAAAATTTTGAGTCATCAACTAATAATTCTTCCCTTTGGAGTAGAGACTCTTGGGCCGTGGGGTTCAAGTGCACAGGCGCTTATTAAAGATTTGAGTTGGCGCCTGGTAGATAGTACCGGTGACCACAGAGCTGATGCTTTCCTCGCTCAACGAATAAGTCTCGCAATACAGCGAGGTAATGCTGCCAGCGTTAAAGGTACACTGCCACAGGTACCAAACTTTTAAAATTTCTTTTTAATTTTCTTTTTATACAGTTTTAATTATTTATATGTAGGTTAAAAAAAATTACAAATACTGTTTATTTGATTGTTATGATTACTTATAAAAATACATATATGCAAATATAACTTCTCAGTTATTGTATATTTTACAAATATAGCACATAATTCTTAAAATATAAAAAAGAAGTGGACTTGGAAGGTATTTTATTAATATAATGCAATGATAGACAAAAAACGCAATGATAGATAAAGTAACACACAAAGTGTTACTTTTTATTATTTATTGTTGTTATTTGTATTGTTTTTTGTGTGTTGGGTCGGGAATTGTCTATAGAACTTTTCAATTACCTGTGCAACATCTCGTCCAACTGCAACAGGTTCTCCTTGTTTCTGGTGAGCGTCCATTCCCTCACATCACTGGCTTCAGTCCAACTGCCGCTGAGGGTTCTGCTGTCCACTGAATCGTCGCACGTGGAGTTTACGTGCGAACGGACTTTGAGACAGACCCAGCCTGGAAATAATGTTTTGAAGTAAGGTATATGAATAAACAATTTATACACAAAATATATGTTATAAAAAACTCAAAGATATTGAAGGGCGGTCTTACTGCTAATAATACCAGCCAGCCAACCCAGACCAAAAATGGCTAATAAATTTAAAAAAAAGGAATAAATCAAGTTAAGTGTGTAAATTGATTTATAACACTTTTCATAAGGAATCTATAAGATTTAGAAAGAAAAGTAATATTCTGATCTTAAAATAATTTTAAGATTTTAAAGTAATTTTCAGATTTTAAAGTAATTTTAAGATTTTATAGTAATTATCAGATTTTTAGGTTATTATTATAGAAAGTCAAGCAAACTTAAATCTGCTAGTAGAGGCTGTCAAATACTTATTGTCTTTTTGTAACTCTAGTGGCGATTCCGGCTAAATGTAAAGTTTTGACTCCCATGTGTCAAATATTGTATTTAATACAGGAGTAACACTTAGCTAGCTAGATTAGCTTACTAACTTTTGACTCCGAATATTACCCAAATTCTTGGTTTTTATCAGCAATATACCTTCTTGCGGGAGTCCCTCAACAGCTTCACAGGGCACCAGCTCCACACTTAACCCGCCAAGCGAGACCCTCTCATAGTGAAAGTGCGCACATTCCTCTAGCTTCGGAAATCGGCAAGTTGGCGAAGGAGCCGGCTGAAGTTAAAAGAAAACATATTAATAACTTCTCAGTACTCTATTTATTTAATTATTCTTTAAAAATATGTTCAAAATAAGAAACATTAAAATATTCAAAGTAGCATAGCAAAATGCGCCACGTTGGTATGTACTAAAAAGGTAGGCTAGGCATTAAGGAGAGACGAAGTTCGCGAGGCAGCTAGTATACAAATATTAATTGCTTCAAAAAAACTCAGTAAAATTACCAACCAATTCGTCAAAGTCGAAGGCCGAAGCGTGGGGCGCCGATTGGCTCATCGCTGAACCGGGTGTCACTGGACTGACGGACAGCGCTGTCAGAGACATTGACCCTGAAATAAAGAATTTAATATTAGGGACATATATTTGTTTGTACTTTATGTGTGTGTAATGTGTAGTATTCTGATATTTTACTTCTATTACTATACTTCTTTTGGCACGTTAGGGAAAAATAATGAGAGTAAATTTTTACGATGCGCGCGCACACCGTGACTAAAAATCGACACCCTAAAGTTAACTATAGTCAACATTCGTTTTTTCTATTGTTAGTGTCGTTTTTTCTACAAACGTAGAATTAAATTTTCGAAAAGATTTTCATCTTGTTACGCCAAAGAAGTATAACTTCTAAGTTCTAACGCGTGTTTTTTTCGTTGGTAGACTAAAGTACTTACCTGGCGTCTCCCTCTTGCATTCTTGATCACTGGATCTCGGGCTCCGTGACTCTGAACTGAACCGAACTGATCTGAAACATTTATTAAAATTCGATCAGTGTTGGCCTAGTGGCTTTAGCGTGTGACTCTCATGCCTGAGGTTTGATCCCCAGCTGTGTACAAATGGACATTGTCTATATGCATATTTAAGACTTGAAGGAAACCAGCATTAGAACCAATAATTCATTATAAAATTACCATTAATTTGGTTCATTATAAAATATACCTTAACACATTACGATTCACAATAATCCAAAATAAGCGAGCTATACCTAACGCAAGTTCTGCTCTGTACTACGAGAGCAAACAACGTCTATGGCGAGAGAACGTTGAGGAATTTGCTACCGCGGCTAATAAATAACCCGATTATTAGATAGCCTAACGTTAATCAAAATAAAAAATAAAAGAATGATTTTTATATGCATTTGTCGCGCTGATGACAAGACTACTATTGTTACAATAATACAAACCATAGTGGTTTTCAAATGTAGTATGTATATGTATTTAGATCGTATTATTTTGTAAAAAAAAATATACAGTGTAAAGTCTTTATAACGTCATTTGTTATAACGAAAAACGTATAACGTTAAATTGGTTTGGTTGAACACAAAACCCTTACATTAATTCTTCGCTAAATTTAGCAATTTCTCTATAGCGAATAAAAATGCTCAGTCCCTTGAAATTCGTTATAAAGAGTTTCCACTGTATTAAAAAAACTAAATAATATTGAAGTTTGTTCCTCTCGCATAAAATAAATCCCCTAATTACTCTACTTTTTACTATAAAACATTAAAAAATAATTATGCATATAATTATCGCTTCCAAATTACAATTAAACAACAAATGTATGACAATCTAACTCTAACCCTAAAAGTATTAATTGTTTTTTCTCTGCGGATATTTGCAATCAGCCCTAAGGCTATGAGCGAATCTGTTCTGTGGTGCTGTAAAAATTTTATATATTTTTTTTAAATACCTGAAATTTTTGTTAAACAGAAAAAAAATTACCAGCAAAGCAGCGGATTAGGTACGAAATAGGCACTTAACAATGCTTTCTTCAAAATTGATCAGCCCACTAGGCACTACCGAATATATCCAGCTCTGGATAAGTACTGTTTAATCCGTTATTATCGCGAAGAAGTCGAAAGAGAAACTGAACTCCTATGTTAGTTCTTGCAACTAGGTAAGTAAACACATACCTATGGAAGGCGACTGCACACCGTTCTTTCTCGGGCTCGGCGAAAGCTCGCGCCGCCAGCGACTGACAGGACATAACCGAGCCGTGGGGGGAGCCCTGGAACCAACATACACAACACTATAATTGTCAAATTGCGAATTTCTGTTGATTTTTATTTTTTTAGTTTTTACTCCATCTTTAAAACTAGAATCGCTGGGGGTGTAAAAGTAATACAAAGCGAAAGAATGGCAGGTTTTATTTTATTGTGATTGGTCAACACGTTTAGTCCAATCAGAGACATCAGAAACGCGACGCAATCCGTCTAAATCATCCCAGAAAATAATAGTCAAGTCAAAATTATTCATATAGGTAACACAATGTACGTCAAAAAATAAATATACATTTAATGCTTCTTATTTTACATTTACTGCCAGTTCTCAAATCAAGGGCGTAGAACGGACGAGATTTTGTTTTACAAAATGTTTGTAAGGAGTTCCAATCATCACACCATGTTCCACGTGACATCTTAAGTAATAAATAATAATAAAAATAAAAAACAAAGATTTGTCCTCTATCAGCAGGAGGCATGGTGAAATAGGAGCATGCACTTACATTCTCGTGTTAGTACCTAGGTAAAAGAAACTTAAATATACTATATCATTCAAAACATAGTACTATTTATATCACTTTAATTCAACGTCATTTATTACAATGACTCTTTCAGTAATTTAAACTTTAAGTAGAAAAGATCTACCAAAAATCTCGTACGTGCCAAAGTGGTAATAAATCAGTATCTCAAGTGAGCACTTCAGAATAAGATACGTGTGTCGTCAAGTTATAGATAACTGTTAGAAGCTACTTAAGTTTTTTATCAAAGAAATTACAGTCCTGGCTAAAAAAAATACTCGGGGCACGTTCTTGAACTATTCAAACGAAGCGGTTTATAAACAAGTATGGAAAAATTTGTTGACTAAACAATGTTTAATGTAAACTGTTTCGAAAGCTTATCTTATTTATCAGAAAATTTGCTAGCGTATCCATTAGATTCTAGGGGCATATGCAAAATCATGAATTAATTTTTGTTTCTTTAGAAATCGAACAGTGTTCAGTGTTCGAAAATCAAAATAATATGATCGTAAGGTCGGTCAAACACCCAATACATTACAATATTTGTGCACATCGTAAATATTTTTTTCTCAAATGATTGAGAACTTTTTAGTGAAGGCCATTTAATTGTAGAAACTTTGTGGTTCTGGGAAAAAGCGAATATGTATCATGTATATCTCAATACACATAAACACGCACTATGCCCAGCCTCGCTTAACGTAAGAAAATGCATCTTGCAAGATGTTCCAGAGCGCTATATCCTTACTGAGATAGTATATACTTAATAATAGAAGAGATCCATCAGGACTTGTTATGATAAATCTAAACAAAAGACGTGCACTTTGTAAACGACCAGAATCAAAAAGTAATTTATTTGAATATAGGTAACACAATTACACCTTTGAACGCCATAAAAGAAATATACATTAAATGCGTTTAATTTTACATTTACTGCCAGTTCTCAAATCAAAGGCGTAGAACGGAAGAGAAGAACTGGCAATAATCTCTCCGCCACTCTTTTTAATCGCCAAGTTTTTATTTTCCACAACGTTTGTTGCAACAATTACACCATGTTCCACATGAACCGTACCTATAATGTATTGATGCAAAAAACATCAACGCCCACTTAGCAAAGTTGATTGATGACGACATTCACCTTGTACGATGACAATATCATAATTATACGCAACTTAAAGCCTACACTTTGTCAAGGTATAAACTTCAGTTCCACCATATTCTCTCTCTTGTATCTGAGTTAGGAAGGTGCGTAATATCTGTCTCCACTTATTTGCAACTCTCTTATTGAGGTATGGTTACACTTGATCAATTTATATTATATTTTTAATGCCTTTTCATTAGAAAAAAGGTTAAAACTCCTTTTAACCTTTTTTTTCTCTCTTGTATCAAACGAAGGCGTACTATTAAATTGATCATTAGATCACACTGTGGCATGTGTTGCGTGGGGCACGTGGTACTATTAAATTTATTGCTAACACGTAAATTATACGTTCCTTTACAAGACTTACAACGCAATTACAAAACCTTACAAAGTATATTAACATAAGTAAATCCTGAGACAGGCGTTATTTAAAAAGATAATTATTATATGGACTTCGAAGATTCGCCTTTTGATGGCTTTGTTGTTATAATCTAGTCGTAACTGATACTAAACGTATTATCAAAACTTTGCTAAAAAATTTACGACTTAATATCATAGTGGATAGATTGAAACTTTAAGACAAAGTAAAAAAAATGTGATACGAAGCCGTACAAATATAAAAGACGTTGTTGCATATATACAAAAGACTTAAAGTGGAAATGGGCCGGTCACATTACCCGCATTAGTGATGGCAGATGGGTCAAGAAGACCCTTACTTGGAATGGCCTAGTGGGAAGAAGAAAGAGAGGAAGCAAATCAGAAACTTGGGAAGATGGAATAAAAGGGATATCGGGCCAGAATTGGAAAATTGTTGAATTGTTGCGAGTGTAGTTCTTTAATAGAGGCTATCTATTTTTTTTTAAAATGATTGGATCTATTTAGTAATTACATATATTATTTGGAAATTCATATGCAAATGGTTCATAATTCAGGGACTCGGAAGTATAAAAGAAAAATATTTTCATCCATATCCCGCTTTCATTTTATAGCACAATAGAAAGACAGTAAAATGCTTAATTTCAAAGAATGAGGAACATAATAAAACTAGGTTAATATCTTGTGTGATGTATGAAAATACTTTTAATTTTTTAATATTTCCATTAAAATGTGACCTTAATATGTTTTACGAGGGTAGTGAAATAAAATTGAGGCTTTCCTGTTTGTCATAAGTATATAATATTTTCACAGATCATTTCACGAATAGGCCACATTATAACAAAAATGTGAGCCTTTCTTTAGCACATAGATAATAGTCCTGAACTGAATAATTACTTAAACATTTAGCAGGTATCAGTTACCTCCTCATCTAAGCAATTTTTAATTTCAGCACTGGAAACTATCTTGCCAATTAGACACTAAATTGTTCTAATATAACACAGAGAGTTTGATTTAAGAATGTGCTGTCAACTACAAATTATAATTTCTAATGCTGATGATTAATTTAACTAGCTCAAGAGGATTATTGGGATATTTTTTGTAGATTAAGTTACACATACATGAGAGGAAACCTCAAAAATTTATTTGCCTTATTGGATAGTATTTTCACTTACATTCACTACAATTGTAAGTATTTTCAGTACTCTATGTAGCCAGACAGTGTTATAAAATATAGCATTACACAAGCATTTGGAAAAGAGATTTATATACAAATGTTTCTCCAAGAACAAACATGCAAATGCAATGAAATTTGGGGATATCTTGCTGTGCTATACCAGTCTTGCATAATTTATACATTTTATGTCATAAGCAATTATGTTAAGCTGGTATTTCATGACTTTTATTTTTAAAATGCTGGCTTAATTTGATTGCCTCCAGCTTGTTATATTTTGTTAAGCCCTGTAAGAAACTCAATAGTTTATTGAAGTGGTGTCTAACATTATTTTAGAGAATGAAAGAGTTTATCAGTGTTACATTAAATTATAATATGATTATTATGTGTGATCTAAATGGTAAACACATTTGCATGCTAAATCACTCAACAATAAATATCTATTGTCTATTGTTAAAAAAAGTAAACACTTGGCAATCAACTTGCAGATTGGACAATAGATTTTTGCACCCTTAAGGGGAAAAATAAAAAAAATGGCACAGCAAGAATGTGACATGGACACAAATAAAAGAAAACATACAGACAACATATACGTGACAGCCAGTTAATAGCTGCTCACATTCTGACCGCAAAGAAGCCATCCATCGGAGCATACACCAAACATTCTTCTCATATTGAAGCACTTTTTACTATGGACTCCATTTAACTAATCACATTAAACCACTGTTTAAAATCCACATCCTTTAGTCGTTCTTTTAAATATTATTTTTTTGCGCACACGAACGGATATTCTTTGCAAATACGGAATAATTGTAAACTAATTATCATGAATATTTGGCACAGCATTTAGGACACAAAAACCGTTCGCACTTGTAATTGAGCCGATCAATTCAAACGGTTTCGTAAGGTTTTTGCAACGTTCCGCTTGATGTGGAAAAAATAAACACTGTATCAAAAATTTCGACAGAAAAAAGATATTATTTACTGTAACTCCGCTACAAAACAAAAATAGCACGGCTAGCAAAGGAATGAGAACGGTCGAAATGAGAATATTCCGTGAGTAAGCGTCGTTAAAGGTATTAATTAATTAGTGAAACAACACAATTAATTCAGGAAAAAGCTTTTCCAATTCAAATTGGAAAATTAAGGCGAATCGCAACTGAGGGAAATAACTCGATTTGACAGCTGCGGAGCGGCGCGCGACCCCCGCCCCGCGCTAAGCGACTGTCTGCAATCGGTCGATTATGGCTATGGGGTAGCCAGATGCAAACTTTTCACACCATTATTCGGGAGAAAATGTAAAGCTTTCACGAAATCGGAATTCAAGATTACGCGTAAAAATGCAATACATTTCATAGGCTAGCCGCACACACGCAATAATATTGACAATAAAATACGTATTGTCAATAATATTGTGTGTGTGCGGCCTGTATTGCGGTATTGTTCAATATTATTGCGAATTTCCGGAAATTCTGAAATATGCCGTCAATATTCAGGGGGAGGCAGGGTTATTGTCAATATTATTGTGTGTGTGCGGGCCTTACTTCAATATTCTAGTTTAACATAATTTATCTATGAGTGCACGTCAAATTAGTTGTTTTCTATGTCTCAAATATTATTGTTTGTTTTGATTTTTGTAAAATGGAAGACGAAGATCTGATCGAAAATTATGACGGAGACAGTGTGGAAAATGTTCCCCCAAATGATAAAGAGACTTTAAAGGAATTCATTAGATTGTGGGAAACTTATCCGGAACTATGGAATATTATATCATCAAAAACA